AGCGGAGATTATAGTTATTCAGGGTTTATTGCTGGAGTATGAGTTTGCATCTGGGCAAAAAATTAATTTTGATAAATCAGCCATCTTTTTCAGTGCTAATGTGGCTGCTGGGCGTAAAGAGGCTTTGCGACAACTTCTAAATGTGGGTCGAATGGTTGGCTCTGGAAAATACTTGGGTTTACCATACCTTCTTGGTAGGTCCAAGAAAGAGGTTTTCACTTTCATCAAGGACAGAGTTTGGAAACGGATTAGTGGCTGGAAGGAAAAATTTCTTTCGGTGGCGGGACGAGAGGTTCTGATAAAAGCTGTGGCTCAAGCCATTCCTACTTATGTTATGTCGTGCTTCCAACTCCCAGAAACTTTCTGTGCTGAGATTGACTCCATTGTGTGTCGATATTGGTGGGGTCAAAGTAGAGATAAGCGGAAAATTCATTGGACCTCATGGGAAGCTTTGTGTCGCCCGAAATGGGAGGGAGGAATGGGTTTCCGCCGGTTGGCGGATTTTAACAGTGCTTTGTTGGCCAAACAGGGATGGCGCCTCCTTCAGTCCCATGACTCGTTATTTGCACGGTTGATGCGGGCCAAGTATTATCCGACCTCGACGTTTTTGGAAGCAGAGTTGGGGTGCAAACCCTCTTTCACATGGCGGAGTATTTTTAATTCTAGACCCCTGTTGATGGCCGGTTTACGGTGGAGAATTGGAGACGGACACACTGTTAAAATTTGGAGCGATAGGTGGTTGCCTCGGGGTCATTCTTTTCTCCCCATTTCTCCTCCTTCTCTTCCTCAGGATACTACGGTAAGTTTTTTGTTAGATTCAGCCCGTAAGTGCTGGGACTTGGGCAGGCTACAGACCCATTTTCTTGATGTTGATGTGGATGTGATTCGAAAAATTCCTATTAGCCCTTGCCTGCCTTCTGATACATTGATTTGGCATTATACTCGTGATGGGAGGTTTTCGGTTCGGTCGGCTTATCATTTACAAATGACTCTGTCCAGAATTGGATCATCTCCGGAATCGTCCAATAGAGGGGAAGCCACACGGCGGTTTTGGAAAGGGGTTTGGCACCTAAAAATTCCGAACAAGATCAAGGGTTTTGCGTTATGTACATATAAAGTGGATACATCCCTAAGATGGGTATCCACTTTAATTGAATGTAGATAGATGGTCTTTTTACCAATGGACAAAAAAAATGTAGACAACAGAAAAAGAAAACCAGAAAAGTTATCAAAATTTGAGGCAATTGCATAACAACAATATGGGAATGAATATAGCGTAACAAAATTCTCATCAAGCCAAGTTGTACGCTTTTTACAACACTAGTGGTGGGTGCCCACACAATGTTCTTACAAAAAAATACTATAATTTATGAATTGAAACGATTCATGTCTATAGAATTTTAAACATTTGAATAATTTTATTTTTTCACATGGTAGTTTTTTGTTTGAGTTTTTTAGATTAAGTTTTTTGAAAATTGGATATTTTGATTTTCGTGTTTTTTTATTTTTATTTTTAGTGAATATTTTTAAAATTTTAAACATTTTTTTTTTACTTTCTTAGATGCACCTTACTTAAATGTATCTAAAAAGTAAAAAATTTGTGAAAAAATATTTTAAAAAATTAATAAATACATAAAAATAAAAAAATGTACTGAATTCTTGTTGTTTTTTTTTTTTTGTATTTTTGGTATTTTGTGAGTTTTTAAAAGATTTTTTTTACTTTTTAAGTGTATTTATGTTAGGTATGTCTAAAAAAATGCTTAAAATATTAAAAAAATTCAGTGAAACAAAAAAATAAGAAAAATAAAATAAAATTTTCTAAAAAATATTTTTAGAAAAAATGGAACGAAGCAAGCTGATTAATTGGTGGGAGTGGTTTGAAATTGGCAGTTGCATAAAGACCTATGAATATGTTTGAAATCGATAGTTATAAAAGCGTCATTTAAGAATAAGAAAAATTGTAACAAAACTGTTTATATCCAATAATTTGACACTTCATACAATAATTAGAAAAGAAAACACACTTCGTGCGCAATTAAAAAGATTCCGAGTGTTTACTATCCTTATAACTGCTCTTGTGCGCAATTTTGAAAAAGGAAAATGTGTGACATCTACATTAAATTTGATATTTATTTTATGAATAATGCTTAGGACCCCTTTTGGGGGTCACCCCCTCATCCCCTTGCCACGTAGCGGGTGGTGATTGGAGGAATAAGAAAAAAAAGAAAAAGAAAAAGAAAAAGAAAATGTAACCAATGAGAGAGAGAGGGGGTCAAATGGGTGAGAGGAAAAGAAGGATGAATCATTGTTGTTATTTTATATAATAATATAGATAATATATAAAGATATATATGTGGTCCAAGACAACTTAGAACACTAATCTAAGTTCAATGATGAATTTGGATAAAACTTGGCTTTCCTTTCACATAAGTGGGGGCAGGCGATATCTTATATGAGAGTTGTAAATTACCAAGAGAATGGAAATATTATTATTATATTACAAAGAAAGATATGTAAAAAATTTGGATATATTGATAGGACCGCACCAAAAATGTTTGGTAACTCTAAAATAAGAGTTCGAAATGAACTTTAATTATGTGGCACTACTCATATGTAATTATCGTTACTTTCTATTAATGTTTTTTATTTTCTTTTGACTTGCCAATTTATTAGGGCTCTATTTAAACCTTTTGAATTAGAGTTATATATCATCGCTATTGCACGATATACGACAAGTCATATTGTCCTTAACACATACGCTATCAAATAATATTTGCTTGCAAATTTACCCAAACAAAAGCCTTTCCATAATAATTACAGCTCAATTTATTTTTATTATATAAAACATACAATTCATTTAACAAAATTATGTCACATTTATTAAATTACCCCTATAGAAAGGTTTTTATTTCAATTTCTATGAATGATCCACCCATTGAGACTAACAAAATCACGAGTAAGACCGATGCAAAAAAGTAGTTTTTGAAAATTGGATCAAATTCCATTTCATGTGCTGTGTCATGTGATGCTCTTGGGAATTTCTTTTTTTTGGTCAAAACCTAAAAAATAAAAAATAAAAATAACTGGCAGCCCAAAGATAAAACGTGCAGCAATGTTTTTTCTTTCATTGCATGGGGTTTCTGTGGACGCTAAGACCAGATTCGTGTTCCAAAAGTAAAACCTAACTTCCCCAGAAAAATCAAACAAGTTATACATTAAATTTATACAGGCTTTAATTGCATCACTATAACATAATACTGCAAAGTTTACACACATATATAAACAAACATATGGGCAAATTACAAACACCCCTCGAAATTTGTTAAAAATATAGATTTTCTCCTGAGGTTTGAGAAATTACAAATTACCTCCTGAGGGTCAAATTTTCATAACAAATTAAAAAAAATTATGGGAAAATCTGTATGAAAATAAAAATCTTAAGGGACAATTTGTTATGAAAATATAAACCTCAAGGAGCGGAATGTAATTTCTCAAACCTCAGAGAGAAATTTATATTTTCACCAAACTTCGAGAGAGTATTTGTAATTTGCCCTAAACATATATAAAAGAGTGACGAGAAGAAAAAAATATTAAATACAACGATAATACTTTCCTATGTGATATTAATAATCAATAAAAAGTTACAAATGCATTAACAGCTACTTTTGGGAGGAGGCATGAGAGACCCAGGGGATCGCGTACACCCTACCTCAACTTTTTCAAAATTATACTTTTGCCTCTTAACAAAAAAATATATTTCAACTTAATTCAATTCAATCTTTTCAAGTACTTTTTTAAAAAATTTATATCACTATTTTTTCTACATTTTTTTTTTTTGGATTTTTTTAATTTGTCACTTTAAATGTTGAATTATACTAATTTTTTTTTTTATAAATTCACCAAACTTCGAGAGAGTATTTGTAATTTGCCCTAAACATATATAAAAGAGTGACGAGAAGAAAAAAATATTAAATACAACGATAATACTTTCCTATGTGATATTAATAATCAATAAAAAGTTACAAATGCATTAACAGCTACTTTTGGGAGGCATGAGAGACCCAGGGGATCGCGTACACCCTACCTCAACTTTTTCAAAATTATACTTTTGCCTCTTAACAAAAAATATATTTCAACTTAATTCAATTCAATCTTTTCAAGTACTTTTTTAAAAAATTTATATCACTATTTTTTCTACATTTTTTTTTTGGATTTTTTTAATTTGTCACTTTAAATGTTGAATTATACTAATTTTTTTTTTTTTATAAATTTTATATTAGACAAATGTTATACGTCACAAATTTTTTGTCATTGTTTTATACATCTTATACGAACTCATAATTGATTCACTTGTTTACAAATAATTATTACATAATTAATGACAACTAATAAAATATTGTATGTAATTCAATTATTCATAACGTTGAAAAAAAATAAGTGATATATAAAAATCACTGTATATTATTTATTCACCTTTAAAAAATTTGCACTCATATTTCATGAGGACATGTGATTATTTTTTAAACTGTGATGATCATCATATATAAAGTTAAATTAATAACAATAAAGATATTGATTGGTTAACTTGAGCTCATATTTAAATATAACTTTTGCATCACACTAATTTTCAGTCCTACTATCAAATAAAAATAAATAAATAAAAAATTAGATTAAGTTGGAATTACAATTTTTGTTAAGATTTCAACTCAAGACCCAGCCAAAATCTTGGCTCCGCCATTATCTACTTTCTTAGATCAAGTTTGGCATCCTCCAAAAAATCTAAAAATTCAAAACATCACCTCTCTAACACATCATTTCAAACCCAACCCAAATCCAATCCATATTTCATAAAAAGTCAAAAAGTGCACTTATTTAGTCTTCCCAAACTTGGCCTTATTATCATTTCATGAAATTCTTTAACAGTAGTGTAGCAGAGTGAAATTTAACATTGTTGGCAGCTAGCCAAACATTCCATTTCAATCCTAGTTTTTTCGACCACCCACCAAAGCAATAAAAAAAACAAAGATCGATAAATCCAAAACTTGATTTGACAAACAAAATAAGTAGCGCAGGGACTAAAAACGTACAGGTAGTGAGTTGTTCTCCCAGTAATGCAATCAAGCTTCCCCATTTTAAAATGGGTTTGCTATTACTTCTTCAGTGGATTCATTCTATCCCTGAGATAGTAAAGCTTGGCCCTCCTCACTCTCTTCTTGTCCAGCACCTTTATCTCCTTTATATTGGGTGAGTACCTGTCATCACCAACTCATTTAGCAAAACATGTGAAGCAATATCTAATAAAGAACAGATGATGTGGCAAGGTAACAACAATACTAACACTGTAACACAAAGCCACATATCACACAATTATACCAATTTATTATATGATTCATCTCGACTGCTAGTTAAGGCAATTTAAACTAACGGGATGCCCAACTAGAACAACTTTATTTCTAATACCATCTCTACCTCCTCATTATGGATCCCCCTTCCAAGGGTATTACTAATACCAAGGCATTAGTAGTCCCAAGGCTATCTCTCAAAACAAACAAGGTATTAGTAGTCCCAATCCCCTTCCTATAACCCCAAACAAACGCGGCTAGTCTAGACTAGTCTGCAAGACTTAGGTAGTATAATTTCAAATTTCGTGAGGGCTTAGTATAAAATTTGCTAACCCGAATTTAAATTCTGTGAGGGGTTGGACAAGGACTCTCACGACCTTAGTGGACCCGGGCCTGGGCTTGACCAAAACTCTTTGTGATAAAATCGGGCTCGGGCTTGGTCAAACTACTTCAGGCTAGAGGCTCGAGCTGAACTTGGGCAAATCATTTTGGACAAACCACCAAACCCTCAGCCCACTCGAAGCCACCTGAGTTGCAACCCTATTGGGGACTCTTTCAGAACCATGATCGCTTATAGATGAAATGTACAAATAAATTTGATGGGAAGGTCAACTATCTCTAACTATTTGTGCCAACAAATTTGGTAGAATAACAAGGGAGGAGAAATTATAAATCTAACTTTTTATGGCATTCAATCATATTAGAAATCTGCAATAGAAACAAAACAAAACAGAACACATTACAAATCAACAATCTGGTCTCAACTTGATGAATCACTTCACAATCCATCAAGATTTGAGACAATTTAATGACGACCAGCTGTCAGCCTGACACCTACACTGAAGGAACTGATTCCAAATCCATGGTAGTAGGAGGTACGTGAAGAACCTTCTCATGTACCTTGGCTGATACCAAATGATAGGTTGCTACCTCACTGTTTTGGCGTTTAAACTCTTGGAAACTAAAGATTAACCCTTCCAGCTCGGATACATTATGACAGAGCACGTGCAATACTAGAACTCCAATATATAAGCACGAAAGTAGGACTCAGAGATCAACTTTGAGAGTATCCACACCAGACTATTCTCTATTGTGTGGCCACATATAAATGAAAAGGAAGGTTGTTTTAAGAAAATGAACAAGAAACAAGCAATTTCAACTTGTAGAATGAAGCAAAATAGCATCCCTAAATTGGGTTATGTTAAATAAATTAAAAGATTTCCTAACAATAAAATATTTAAAAGGTATGCCTTACTTTCACTTCTAGCCATAGTTGTTAGGTTCAAGACACACTAGGCACCAAGGTCTCTTAGAATCTAAGCACCAAGCGCAACATAAAGTGTGAGTGAAGTAAGGCACATGTGAGTTAGGCATGTATATTAAAAATATACTTACAACTGAAAGCAATTTGAAATATATCTATATATATATATATCAATATCATATATAAACAAAGTAAAGGTGAATTTTCTATTATTTTTTCCCCCCACGCATATGAACTGAAATAGTTAATAGATCAATACATGTAAATCTGTCAATTGGTATATGCATCCAATAAATCAAGAGTACTGCTATTGACCCCTACCTTTCTTCTTAAAACCCCCACCTCTTCCATTTTTTTAATTCCAATTTTGTCCAAACATATGATTCCACTTTTACCCTCATCCCTCATCTTCTAATCCTAATTTCCCAAACCCTAACCCTAAGCCTAACCCCTACCCCTCTCAACTCCAACTACCACCTCCACCCACCGCTGGCCAACCTCTCACTGCCAGTTGCCACCTCTATCACCCTCTTCTCCCTCGTCTTTTTCTTCTTCTTCTTCTGAAATCGCGATCTCCACCCCTGCCGTTCATGATCGCGAACCCCACCGCCACTACAATCTCTCTCTCTCTCTCTCTGCGCATGGTTGGGTTGTTAGGGTTTAGAGGCGCGATGGTGACAGCGACGCGACGGGATTTGGGTTGGTTGTCGATGAAGATGAAGATGAAGATCTGCAATCTCACTCTCTCTCTCTGCATGGTCAGGTCGCTAGGGTACGGAAGCGCGATGGTGACAATCTAGGTTGCTCGTTGATGAAGATGAAGATCTAGGTTGGGGAGGCGATGGCGACAGCGGTGGATTGATGAGTTGGGAAGGCGGTGGTGGCAACAGAGCAACGGCAGTGGCCGGAGGTGATGAGTTGGGGGTTCAAAGAAGAGGGATGCAAGTGGTGGGATTAAGCTGGGGGTTCAAAAAGAAAATGGGAGCGACTTGATTAAGTGCATAGGGATTCAAAAAAGTGGGGGGTCCAAAAAGATAAGGTAGGGGTAAATAGCAACCCTATAAATCAAATACCCATTGCAAATACTAGCTGTAACTTCAACTATATATTATAATTCTACATACTAAAAATTAATCATTAGATTAGATATATCTATTTCAAGTAGTCATGCATAAACTCATACATCTAAGATATAAATATGATATAATGCATATCAATTGGTGATCCCTGAAAAATATAGCAGTAAAAGATAAAGATATGATTGGATTATTTTAAGAGGTGTAATTCTTGAGCTTGAAGCCTACAAGAACGTGTGTGCTTAACAATTTTATGTGGCGACTCAAGGGGATTGACCTTACGTAGAAATAAAAAATGAGGCACTTTCTTTGAGTTTTGATGAGGCCGTGGCCTTTTGGGGGCAAAGACCCGCCTTTAACAATCATGCATCTAACATTCTTTAACATGTAAGCTTAATTTTTCAAGTAACCTGGCTAGAAAGATGTGTTTTAGTCACATGTTTTAACTTTAATAATTACATCTTTAAAACTTGTTATTTCCACACTTTCTTAGATAACTAAATAGAAGCTTAAAGTTCAATATGTCAATTATAACTTAGTAATTCAGAAGAATTTTCAGTTTACTTACAGTGGGAAGAGAGATTCAACTCCAACTCCAGCGACAAGCCTCCTTAATCTAAATGTAGTATTTAAACCAGCATTGCGCCTTGCTATAACAATGCCTTTCAGTATTGAAACACGCCTTTTATTGTCAGGCACTTCCTAATCATGCCAGGGATTTTAACACAACGAATCAAATGATGTTCCTCGTAGCAATTCTAGTTCTGACCAACACACAAAACAATAAATTTCCCTCAACAACAATTTTCATACCACTTTGAGCTGGATGATATAACCAGGCTTTATATCAGGTAGTTCTTTTTGTTTCCTCACTTCCTCCACAGCTTCCTTATCAAGAATCTGCAATGTAATATCAAAATTTAAAACAAAAAAATTTAATGAAAATCAGATGAAATATTCCATCTGTTTCAATAAGAGTAAAAAAGATGCATGCCTGCATTATATGCTTGGCTGTTTTATCAAGCCTCTTAAATTTGATGCGTGGAGCAACTTCAGAGACAGAAGCAGCACCTTGTGCAATGGCATCGGCTGAATTAGTCACTGTAGTGATGCACCTACTGGACAGAGTTTGCAGTGCCATAGATTGGTGAAAAGGACCTGGCTTAGGATCCCTGTATAACAGTGATACTGAAAGTATACCACCATTATTAGATGACGTGAGCAAGTCTGTTTTGATACTGGGTTTTGTCTGCCAGAATAAATTAAGAAGCATCACACATACGGACTAATTCTTTGTAAAGATGACCCAAAAAGTAATTTAGAGAAAAACACAATACTTTTCTGAAATGGAAAAATCATGGCCTTGAAGTCACCAAATTATGATATAATGAGAAGAAATATATTTACCACAAAAGCATAACACTGCTGAACACCATTACTTTTATTTTTTTTGCTTGTGATCATCATAGACACTAATTAAAGGTAAATCACAGGATATTGATAATAATGTTTTTCTTCCTCTCATTTTAAATATAACAAGCAAATTTTGGAAAATCCAGTAATCTAAGTGATCAACTAAAACATCTTAATATAGCACCAAAGAACCACAGGGCTATTCACCAAACAGCTACACAACTAAATTCCAAGTGAGTGTCAAGACTAGCATGCCTCAAGCACATTCAAACTAAAGTAAAAGTAAAGATGATCATAATGATCTAGTTTCAACATCAAAAGATACATGACAAATCATATTCATGTAATTACATACTCACTTGTACGTAAATGTTTATAGTCGTATACATATGCGTTTACATCATGTGACATCATATCAAATCAGCTGGTTAAAGTTAATTGTCGTATTGTTGGCAAGAAAAAATGTATGCATGGTGGCCATTAGATACTAGGAGAATGCAAAGTTTATCCATGAACACAATTGTGACTTTAAGCTCAATCAATGCAAAGATCAATGTTTCTTTCTCAACAAAGACAACCGGATCTGGAAAGGGATTGACAACCTAATGCAAGAACAAATTTATGAACATAACAGCTAAAACAACAATCCAAATAATAGTTATCATCAAAAACAAAGGAAAATCTTGACGCCACTAATTTCATCCACCATTGGTAAATAAGCAGCAGATACATAGTTAAATAATAAAAATTATGTAGATGCAAGCACTCTCTTTGGAACCCCATAGCCACATAGACAAGTTCCCTTCTCCAAATAATTCTTACCCATAGGCCAACCAATGCTGACAAGTTATTCAAAGGGACAGAAGCTCACATGACCAATGAAGGAATGTTGAACCACCAAGTACTCATCTCTAAGATCATGGTATAAATTGTTCAAAATTGTTCTAGCAGATCAGGCTCCGAATTTCCTTATCACATGAGTAGCCAATAGTGGAACTATTTCAGCACATTCCATTTGCATAAGGAATACACTGAAGGTTTCACTTGTTTCTAGCATCTAATAGTCATTTAACGGCAAATTCATCAATCCCCTCTCCCTCTAACCAAACCTCATTGTATTAGAAAAATTCCACCCATGACCACAACTTTGTGTATTGCCCAACAACGAAGGTCACAACCCATATGCCATTGAATGAGGATAGGTTGTCCACACAGTAACTCCCATATAGCTAATTCGGTACAAGACCTCTAAATCTCAAATGTTTCTTCACCCACGCTTTATCATTGCCAAAAAAAAAAAATTGTCATGATACTTGACCACAAATTTGCAGCATTACAACTCATCTATTCTATTATATAAAGCGTACAACATGTCATTTGGCGTGAACACTGTCATTTTTTTTTTCCCTTCCTAACAATACCCCCTACACATCCCATAACTGCTAAATTGTACTTCGCATTCATTTCCTAAAACTGCTAAACGATTTTCTCATTCATCAAACTGCCTCAAAAATTTAAATGTACCATTGCAAACCCATTGCACTCTCCCACCGCTAGTTACAAAAAGGAAATGCTTCCTTCTCTCACATACCTAATATAGTGACTTGCCAACAACTACAAGTAATGGGTAGTAACTAACTTGATAATCACACACATTTATAAACAAAGTTAAACAGCCACACCCATTTGTTGCAGGAATAAGAAAACCACTATTTGAGTGCTAATCTGCAATTATTATTGAAAACCCAGAAGTATAATATGAGCCAAAAATCATACCAATGAAAGTGGTGAGCGAGAAGTGAACTTGCGCAGCGACTGGTAGAACAACCCATTTGAACAATCAACAGAACTACCCACAAATTTGACATCTCTCTCTTCAATCCGAGCCAAAGAAATAGGTTTGATCAATGGAAAACCTTTCGCTGAATTGAAATCGACAATCTTTGAGCTGTTCGTGGCGTGCCTTCTAACCAATCGAATTCTCCCACAAAACGATTGCATTTCCCCAACTTGAACCTACATTTCGTGACCAAAAAATTCATAAAAAATTTCTACAAAAATAAAATAAAATTACACACTCGAGGCACAAGAAAATGGTCGTGGATCGAATCAATTACCGGGAAAGATTGATCAGGAAAATTTCACCGTGAGTTGTGGTGGCGATTCTCGGCGACAAGCTGAGGTTGTTCTTTTGACGGGGGGATCGGACTAGAACCCGAGGTAGAATTATTTTGGGTAAATTACACTCACACCCTTTATATTTATTACACTTCTCTTCACATTTGGAAAATTATATCAAATTGATCTTTTGTTAATTTAATTTTATATATAATGATCATTATGATGAAGGAGAATTATTATGAAACTTTAAATCTTAAGAAAGCAATCTGTAATAAAATTTTAAACCTCATGGAATGGGTGTAATTTTTAAAAAATAAGAAAAATTATAATAAATATAAATTTTAAGGAGTGTCAATATAATTTACCCAATTACTTTTTTATGATTTTGGAAAAGGTTAAGATAAAATTATATGAATTTTAAGAGGGATGAGTTGGGGAACTCATGCTATAATTTCAATTTTTAAATTTATTTGGTAATAACTCGAGGGCTAAACTTTTACGATTATAAAAAGGGGATGCACCAATAAATTCCAAATTAATAACTTATGCATTGTTTAGTCCTAAAAGTTTTCTTATAGACTGAAAGGTCCCATTACAATGTTAATAACATCAGATACAATGTTAATAATATCAGATTCATGTTACAAACATTGGATTTCAAACATCTAATGTTCATCAAATTTCAATAATGTTTGAAAATATAGGATGAAAAACATATAATGTTCATCAGATTTCAATAAATTTTGAAATTATAGAATGAAATATCAGATCATTTACATTATTCACATCATGTTGATGTAAAAATGGGACTAAATGGAGCATAAGAAAACTTTTAGGACTAAATGGTTCAACGTTTCAAAAACTAGGACTTATGGGTAAATTTTCCTTATAAAAATGCATTTTATAGATAATTATTTGTTCAAATCGTTTACATTTTTAGATAGCTACCTATACAATTATTTATAATTTAAAAATTTTAACAAGTTAAAACTTTGTGTTCGATAGTCTATTTTAAATTTCATGTATGTTTCGAGATCTATCCATCCAAAACTATCAAAACCAGTTTTGAACATTTATTTTAAAAAAAAATATTATTTCACTGTTTTGATTAATAAAAAAAAAAAAGGGTTAATTGGTAATAAGTCTAATCTAAGAAGAACATAAGACATTAGATTTAAAGGATATTTTTTGTTGATGAGAAGTCCAAATTTTGTATAATAATTTGGTCAGTAGTAGAACATTTTGTTTTCAATTTTATCCCATAACTTTTTTTTATTTGTTTGACTTTTCATTGACTATTTGTTCAAATTTATATCTATATGTTTAAATTTTTTTTTTTCTATATGTTCAAATTTTTTTTTATCTGTTCAAATTTTTTGTCTATCTGTTCAATTTTTCTCCTAAATTATATCTATCTATTGAATTTTATCCCTAAATTCTATTTATTTGTTTAATTTTTTTTCCTGAATTTTTTTATCTGTTCAAATTTTTGTTATTGAAATACACTAAGCCATTTTGTTTAATCTATTACACCACATATTTTATTTAATTTATTGCAATCATTATCATCATCAACAATAACAACAATATGTTTCATCATCATCAACAACAACTGCAATTGCACAAGAAAAAAAAAAAAACTCAGATCTACAAAAAAAAAAAACAACAACAACAAAAACAAAATTTGAACAGATAGTCAATGAAAATAAATAAAAACTTGCTATTTACTGTGAGGGTTCCTCGTCTATATATATATATATATACATATGCATTCAGTATATATGTGTGTATATGTATATAAAAAAAATTACGGAAAAAGAGAAAGAACAAGATACTGTGATGCCTTTGAAGCGCGGCGACAGTGGCAGAAAAACACATCTAACCACCACCGCTAACGGTAACGGCGTCAAAACTAAAGTCTTCTCCCTAATCTCCACTCACCGCCAGATCCACTGAATTACTGCGACCTCTTCCAAAATGTTACAACGTTAGAACCATATGACTCCAACACCAGTAGATCTGGCGATGAACGACAAGAGGCCATGGACAGTGGCAATTTGAAGTGATGATCTCAGATCTAAGGTGATCGACGTGGCAATGAAGTTGTGGAGGGTTTCGACGATGAACCAAAGTCTTTTCTCGTCGCTAAGTTGATAGCGATTGTGACACGGTGGTGAGAGTGTTAGTAGCAGAAAGGAGACGGTAACGGCGGATGAGAGACATTGATGGTGGTGGCAGAAACGGCGCACTAGGGTTTAGATCGAGGAGAGAGAGAGGGGGATATGTTTCTTTTGAAAGTGGTAGGGATTGATTAGTATATATATATAGATAGGTATTTTAGTCATTTTGTTTCAGCTTGTTCTTGTAGAGAGAAAGAGAGGGGATATGTTTCTTTTGAAGTGATAGGGTTGATTGGTATATATATAGATAGGTACTTTAGTCATTTTGTTTCAACTTGTCCTTGTGGACAAACTGTTTATGTGCCTGGACTTTTAGCAAAAGAAAATGTAATTTTCAACTTTTTGGCCTGAGAACCCTTTATTTATCGTAAAACATTTCAAAACCCTAAGTTGAGATCATCTCTCTCTAAAACTCATATTCTCTCTACAAACACACTTAGATCTAGTGATTTCTTCACCATACTCCATTTGTTAAAAAGTTAGAACCCACCTAGAGCTTCGTTCTGATCTAAACAAAGTTGGATTTAGGCGTGGTTGGAGTTTCTTCATTCTTTCTCTCGTCTTCTAGCTTCGAGGTAAGGATTCTTTACACTCTTTTATAATTTCTAACTTAGTTATTTGTCTTTATAAAATAATCTCATGATTATGGGGGATTTTGTACAAACCTAGGGTTTTTAGTATAAAATCAAAAGAGAGGTTTTTAAATGAATGTATTGAAAATGATTGTGAAATGGAGATGAGGTTGAGTTGTGATGAAAATATTAATTTAGATATATGGAATGTGTTTTGGAAAAAGAATGGATTTTGCCCTAAATGTCTCAAAAATTTATTTTGTATAAATAAATGAAATTGATGTTGAAACCATGGAATTGGATTGGTATTGATGAGTATGGTAGAATTGAATATGTATTATCACTCACCTATTGAGATTTGGAAAGTTTACCTTTATGGAATATAAATTATTTGTTTAGAAATATTTGTTTTGGGCTATCGGTGGATGATAACTATGATTGTTGTAGAAATTGCATGTGAATTATGAGAATTGAAACTTTTTTCATTCATTTGCATTGAGCATTATCTCACACTTATACATTCAAAATGTTTATGGTTTTGAGAAAATTGGTGAATCTAGGAACAACATGAATTGTAATGATTGAACTAAGTTGGCCTGAATGCCCAGGGTGAATGTTCAAAAAATTGCGCGTATACATGGGTGCCGATCCCGCGGACAAAATTTTCATGAAATGGCAATAATAATGCTTGTATAGCCTACGTTTACATGGGTCCCGGTTTACGGTTTCCTCTAAACGAAATTTTCGGGAAAGGTTATATTTGTTTTGAAATTCCCAAAGTGTGATTCACTGCCCTATTTTCTATTGTAATGGAAATGATTTATGAATCAAGATATTAACTTGACATTGCATAGTTTTGAAAAGAGATATAAAAATGTTTTGAAACGAGCATTGCATATGCATTCACCTTATAGTTTTGTTAAGATTCGTATATCGTGTTGGATTATTTCTACTGGGTTTTGGCTCACCCTATGTGGAAAAAATATTTCAGGTGTTGATAATATGCCTTCGCCAAGGTAGTAACTCGGGAGGATTTGGAGCAAGAGCTTCTTTTTGTTGTATTCATTTTATATAACTAAGGGCTTTACATGTATTAGACCTAAAGTCCATTTTTGTTGTAACCAAGAACTTTCTTGGAAAGTTGTAAGCCTTTAGGGCATTTCTTATCTGTTTAATACCCACTATTTTCTTTAATTCAAAACAGATGCTATAGATTCAGAGCAAGGCATTATGAATGTATGCCGTATATGTTTCTCTTTTTGTAAACTCAAATTAATGTAATGGAAGATAATTACTTTATCATTGTTGTCATTCATTGATATTGTGGATAGGTTATTGTAATTATTACGGGGCGATACAGACCCACACACATGTGGGTTCGTGTGAGTCTCACACCCAGTGAGAGATTTGGCACAAAAAATTGGTAGCTTATTTGGGATTTATAACATTTTCCTATATTTTATGAACTTAAAAGGCTACAGATCTAGGCAGATTAACAATATGGGCTCCCCCATCAAATGGGTGGTCTATTTATTTACTAGATTTTTAAAAGAGAATTGTGAATTGTGGGCCATTTTTTTTTTTGGGGGATCAAATTTGTGGGTCATTGTTTGATTACAATTTTTCAAATCCTCCGTTATTTCCATTGATTGGGCTATAACACCTAATTTCTGTAAATGACTCAAAACAAATTAAATTTTGAATAATTATGCGACCATTACATTTTTTTTGATTAGTAGAAAAATCCATTAAGGTAAGTCAAATGGCAATTACAGAATAGTTCATCCAACAAAAAAAATCTTATACCAAACAAAGTAAAAATATTACAAGAAGCACAAAGGAAAAAATTATGAAAATATCCTGACACACAGCTCGTGCTCATGCTCGTACTGCAAAGCAGAGCCGATCATAAGAGTTCGACAATAGAGCATGTCTGAGATAAATCATAGGTTACAACCACAACACTGATGGACTCTAAGAAACACACTCAAAAAAACCAAAGAAACGAGGCAGAAACAGGAAAAAAAATTGAACTTAAACCCAAAACGACCAGATCCGTGGAAGATCTGGTAGTGGAAAGGTGGTGTCGGCTTCGGTGTGAGTCGGCGGAGGAGAGACATGGTAGATCTAGTGTCAGCGAGAAGAAGAGAGGAGAGAACCAAACAAAACTTTCACTATGAGGAAAAGAACACTTCCAAGGGAGGGAAAAGATAGAGCTCTCATGACTTATTGAACCAAAAAAAAAAAGGAAAACAAATATAAAAAGATGGAGAGGAAGGAAAAGAGAGGTGGTCGGAGGCTGGAGGCCCCTTCCCCCTCTCCTTTCTTATCCGTAAGCTGCGTTTCCAAGCAAAACCCTAAAAAAAGAAAGCAGAGAGAGAAAGTTATGTAACCATTACATTGGTATTGAAAATTTAACACAAATAATGATTACCATGACCAATTTGAATACGAAAAATTTTGGATAGATAATGTAACAATCCAAATTTTTAATTATTCTGTAGAATTTATCTCAATTCGGAAAATATATAGTTTATTATATATTATTATGGGTAATTTTGTAAAATAATATAATTATTAAAAATTTAAGGGTCAAAATATAAATAATAATAATAATGGACATAATAATAAAATATATAATTAAGTTTGGATAGACTTGGATAACTGGAGATTAATAAGGAAGTGACACGTGGCAGTGGCTTGGGGCTCACGAATTGAATTTGTATAAAAAGGGGTGAAGTTGACTCAGAAGAGGGAAAAAGAGAGAAAGAAAAGAAAGAAGAAAAGGAAAGAAAGTGTACGGGAAAGAAATACACCTTCTCGTATAATCCTGTTGACTAAGTCCGCGCTCCTCCGTACGACGTCGCTTTGTCACCTGAAAACACAAACGTGAGCTAGCCGGCGGGTGTGTGCCGGAAACCTCTTCGATGCCTAAGTCAGCAAACTTAACAAATAGACAAAGTTCAATGTATTCAGAAAGCAAAATTGTGTGTTACCTCCTCCAAGGTGATGTTTGTAAGTTTTTATAGGTTTCGAGTGGCACAATCCTAGTAGGACTTCTACTCCTCCATGTAGAATCCTCCTAGGATTCATACTCCTGTAGGATAATGCTTATCCTTTAACACCCCCCCTCACTGCTTAAACTAAGTGAGATGGTTTTTGCCATGGCCGAACTACCATATGACCGAAATAAAACTGGCTATGCTGAGCCACAGAGTAGGCCGAACTATCCTTAGTTCGGTTTTACCATTTATTCCTCTTTATCTCGGTTCTCTCCTGTTCAACCCATGGTATGTTTAGACCAAGCTACCGAGTAGTAAGGTTTTGACCGTTATAACCATAATACAGCATGACCGGACTACCTCTGAGACCGGCCTAACTCCAAGTTGTTTCCGGACTGAAGTAGCTTTACAATTCTTGAGCCGAAGTAACTTAATCTCTCTTGGGCCGAGGTAACTTTTCGGCCTTATTACCCAGTCCTTCGCACTGTGGGCCATAAAGTCCTTCTCATAGCTCGACCCAATTTTCACTAAAAATTACCCTCTCAATTGCCCCTTAATTCCATCTGCATAGCATGATTGGGATTACTTGTCTACCAGCCAAGCTAAAGTTTTTAAGCTTTTCCAGCCGAGCTAAAAAAACCGTTTAGCCTCTCCGGCCGAGCTAAAAAACCCTTTAGTCTTTCCAGCCGAGCTAAAAACTCTTTAGCCTTCCGGCCGAGCTTATTTCACTCCGGGCTCTATTTGTCCGGTCAAAACGTCTCTTCAATCACAGCGACTGTAACGCTTCCCTTTCCAACGACACATGGTAGGCTCTGATAGACTGTGGGCAGCTGTCACGCCGCCCTCGTACTACGAAAAATTTGAACAGTTCCCGCTTTTTCTCTCTCGCCTTTTTCACAAAACAAGCTTTCTGTCTTTGAATCATTCACCCACGCTTTTTACCTTCTTTTCTCTTCGTGCCTCTGCTTCTCCAACTTGAGTTCGTGTTCTTCATTGGTGCTGTTGCTCCCATCACCAGCTTCATCTTCTTCTGGTAAGCTCCACAAAATCTGTTTTGTTTTTCTTATTTCTACTTTCTATGTTTTTGCGAAACATGCTTGTACATTTTTGTTTTTGCTTCTGTACTTTCAGAAGAACCTATGAGTATATGTTATATATCCTATAGAAAACTCGCTTTTGATCCCGAATCATGTCCCAACCGAACTAGGAAACTGTTTGTGCTATTTAGGTAGATCAATTCAGACAATAACCGAACTAGATACACTTTAGCCGAGATACGCTTACTGAACGAAGTTCTGTACTCAGTAAACTAGGAACCTTGGTATTCAACCGAGCTAGGCCTTGGGGCTAAGCCAGCTTTCTTAGTTCCTAAACCAAACTCAGAAAGCTGCCCCTAGAGGCTCAACCGAAGTAACTAAACTCATAGTTCAACCAATTTAGGCCTTTGGGGCTAAGCCAGCTTTCTTAGTTTTTTAGACCGAACTCAGAAAGCTGCCCCTAGACGATGAACCGGTCTAACAAAATTGTTTCCAAAGCCAGTATGCCGAAATGCTCACCAAGATCTTGGCTAATAAAAAACCCTGCCCAAACCGAGATACCAAGCATTTTGCTGAATCGAGATAGAACCTGTCCACAAAGCCGAAGTATTTGTAGCACG